ATTTCCTGCTGCTCGCACTCAAGAAAACTCTGGGAAGCTGTGGGGGTGGTGGGTAAACGCCCCACAGTTTGTTTGATATACCCATTAATGATGATTTTTTTCTTTTTACTTTGTGTGCATTGATGGTTTGTCTGCATGTGTCTGAATACCCTGTGCATGAAGGACCAGAAGCGGGTATTGGTTCTCTTAAGACTGGAGTTGCTGAGAGCTGTGAGCTGTCATGTTGGTGCTGGGAATTGAACCCCAGCCCTCTGGAAGAACAAGTGTTCCTAACTGCTGTAACACTTCTCTACTCCTAAGAAAATAATTTAAAAAAAAAAAACTTGTATAATACTCCACCAACAAGATTAATGTCTAGTAAGCACAAAAAAATGTTCTCAGCATTGGTCATGGTGGGAAAGGGATTAGTAGGTAGTGAATAAACTCACCGTTTAGACCGTGCAAAAGAAAAGTTTACTTAGTACTTTGCAAGGGCCAGTGGAGCGGACAGTAAGAAGAGTACACTTGTAACTTAGCCATTCTTATCAAAACACATTTCATTCTGGAGTTAACCTCTTATTCAAATATGGTTTTGTTTGGGGACTTTTGAGACAATATCTCATGCAGCCCAGCTGAGCCTCAAATTTGATGGGCCAGAAGATGACCCCAAACTCCTGATCTTCCTACCTCTACCTCCAAAATACTGGGGTTGCAAGCATGCTCCACCACACCCTGCTAATACATGTATTTTTATTTTAAATTTTTATTAGATCTTTGGGAACTTCATCCAGTGTGTTTTGAGTATAACCATCCTCTCCCCCAACTCCTCCCAGATCCACCTCCCTACCCTACACAGCCAACTCAAAGCTCATCCAGACCAGTTTGTGCTGCTCACATGGTCTTGGCTGTGTGGCCTTCCAATGAAGCATAAACAATTTAGCAGTTGCTACACTATTAATGAAAACTGATTCTCCCTCTCCCGGCAGCTATCAATTGCCAATAGCTCCTTCAAATAAGTATTTTTAAACATTTTTATTTTATGTGCATTGTTTTTTTTTCCTGCATGTCTGTATGAGAGTTCCAGATCCCCTGGGACTGGAGTTACAGACAGTTGTGAGCTGCCATGTGGGTGCTGCGAGTTGAACCCGGGTCATCCAGAAGAACAATGAGTGCTCTTAACTGCTGAGCCATCTCTTCAGCCCTGAAATAAGTATTTTTAAGTAGCCATTATCATATTATACATTCACTTTAATACTGTTTTTTGTGTGTGGATGTCCATGTAGAGGTGAGGATTCAACACCAAATACCTTCGATCTCTGTAGTTTTTAGGAGTAATATTTCTGTGTATAAGTGCACATGTGTGTGTCTATGCACACATGTGGAAGCACTGAGGCCAGAAGAGGACATCAAATGTCTTCCTCTATTATTTACTACCTATTACTTTGAGGCACAGGCTCTCCCTGAACTTGGGGTTCACATTTTGTCAGCTAGGTTGGAAGCCAGTAAGCCAGGGGACATCCTGCCTCCACCCTCCTTGGAGCTGAGATTACAGGTATGTGCAGGATATCCAGTTTGTCACATGAGCGCTGGGATGCTCTGGTCCTCCTGAATCCATCTGTTGAGCTCAAGTTCCAAAAGCATATGGCAAACCACGTATGTAATCCCAGCATTTGGGAGGCTGAGGTAGGAAGGCGGTGAGTTCAAAGCCAGCCTGTGCTACACAGCAAGACTGTCTAAAACTAAAAAAATAATAATAAGATGAAAAAAAATATTTCAGAAAAGACATAACTCGCCGGGCGGTGGTGGCGCACGCCTTTAATCCCAGCACTGGGGAGGCAGAGGCAGGCGGCTCTTTGTGAGTTTGAGGCCAGCCTGGTCTACAGAGCGAGATCCCGGAAAGGCGCAAAGCTACACAGAGAAACCCTGTCTTGAAAAACAAACAAACAAACAAACAAAAGACATAACTCCTATCAAGGCCCTAAAGGATGTAGCAATCTAATGTCCTCCACAATAGAGGTAGAAACGGTAACTGGTAAGAGTGGTACGAGATGAAGCTAGGTAGTGGGGGGCGGGGCGGGGGGCGCGCTCTACTTCCGGTTCTTAGCTACGCGTGGTGGCAAATCGGTGGCATTTAGGGTTTGGGATATACAGCTGATTTACTTTAAATATGCAAAGCCCCACACGATTTACAGGCACAAAGGTACTTAAAATTGCGACTCTGTGGGAAATGAGCTGGAAGCTTGTGGCAGAAACGAAATTCCATTTCCAGCATCCTGAACGCGCCAGCCTATGTACCAGACCATTTTAAAAATATGGAGGGTGACCCAGAGGGTCCTCCTCTCGTGGATGCCCCCTCAGGGGACTGCGGCAGGGGACACCAAGTGCGACGGCTCAGCAAATGCTGTCTGCGGGAAATCCATTTATTTGTATTGCACTAGTACAGTCATGCGCGTGGGGAGCCCGTCGCCTTCGGCAAAGATGCCTGCGCTTCCTCGCTCCTGCACACTCTCGCCTCAGCCAGCCTCCCCCAAGAACCGACCCGCTCGCTACAACGCACGCTGCAGAGTCCCCCGCAGCCCGCGCCGCACTTCCGGGGGCGGGGCCCAACCACGGTCGGTTTCCACTGAGCCTGAGCCTTGGATGAATTCCGCAAGGCCGGCCACCGGAAGCTGAGCTTCTACTTCCGGGTCGGAGCCATGGCGGTGGCAAATTCAAGTCCGGTTAACCCAGTGGTCTTCTTTGATGTCAGCATTGGCGGCCAGGTGAGGTGCGGGCGGCCCAGCGGACCTGCTCCGGCGGGTGGGCAGGACCTGGGTGAGGGAGGCAGCCCGGGGAGCCCTTCTAGCCTTCCCGAGACAGGAGGGCTGTTCCAGGGCGGCGGAGGTGGGAGCTTCCGAGCTTCCTGGGCTGAGGTCCTGGGCTCAGCCTTGCGTCTCCCGTCACTTGCAGGAAGTTGGTCGCATGAAGATCGAGCTGTTTGCAGACGTGGTGCCTAAGACGGCAGAGAACTTTAGGTAAGGAGATGCGCCAACTGAACCAGAGTAGCTGAGCCCAAAGCCGGCCTTTGCAACGTCTGCCTCTGTCCATCCGTTCCCTGCCTTGGAGCTCTGTGTTCTGGGTATTGCACTGGCCGAATAGCTACCGGGTTTGACCATTCCCATGCCAATTTTTGTTACTAGTCTACCACTGACACCCGGCCGACCAGTTAGTGGACTTGCTGGCCCCTTTGTTTGTACCCTCCTATCCTGAGATTAGAGATTCTCCAAGCAGTGGTGGCATGCACGGTGACTGAATCGTTCACTCTTTCTTTCCTTTTAGGCAATTCTGCACTGGAGAGTTCAGGTCAGTCTCAGATGTGTTTGATCTCTCCTCCTACTCCTGAAGGGTGCCCTAGGAGCTTGGTGAGGATATTGGGGAACCATGGGCAAGTCTTGAGTGATGGAAAATGATATTCAGAGGGTATCTCCTTTATTGATTTGTCCTTTAGCTCACTTCTGTCCAAATCTTTATGAGAATCCTTTTAGTCTCCAGTGTGTCCTAAACGGGAAGACCCCTGATCATTCCAAGTCTCTCTCTTTTTGGTTACAGAAAAGATGGTGTTCCTATAGGATACAAAGGAAGCACCTTCCATAGGTAAGGCTTTTGGCAAATGGAAATGCAGTCATTGCTTGGTATCTGTACAGGCAATCCTGAACACCTGAGTGCAAAACCTATGGAGGATTAAGTTTGTTGTTTAAAGGCTCATGTTCAGGGCTGAGGATGTAGCTTGGCAGAGAATTTGCCCAGTGTGCATGAGGCCCTGGGTTCAATACTCAGCACCATGTAGCCTGTGCACAACACTCTGTGCGCCTAAAGTCATTCCTAGACTCTTGGTAATACCAGATTGTAGAAATGATGGCAGGGAAAACACTCTGGGTCATTTTACATGGGTTACAGGTGCATTTCCGGATGCTTCTATACCCAGCTTTTATGTGGGACCTGGGGATCTGAACTCAGGTCCCCATGCTTCATCTCATGCTTACCCACTGAGCCATCTCCCTGGCTCCAGGTTATGATTTTAGTAGAGGCTTTTGTAATGATTAGTGTTATCAGACAGCAATCTGTGGGAACCTGCCCTCCATGAACTCCTGGCTTTCTGTGTTCACCTGTTTTTGTTCGTGTTTGACAGAAGTTGCCCCACTTTAGTCCTGAAAGTTTTCATGTCGCCCATAGCAGGGCTTTAGAGCTGTGGTCTTTAAGCCATCCCAGCGTTCTTGTGAACATGTGTTATCTCCATTCTTTAAGGAAGGAAACTGAGGCTAAGAAAGGCTGCGGACTGTGCCTGGGTTTAATAGTTTACACTACCCCGTGTGTAGTAGTCCACTTCACATATATTTGCTGTTGTTCTTTTCCCCCAAATTTGCATTAAGCCCTCGACATGTTTTTTGCTTTGGCGAATCTGTTGTTATTTCTTCCTGACAGGTGTCAGCCCCTTTCTGTGGTTCAGGTGCTAACTCATGCACCTTAGATCAACCCAAAGATGCCCCTGAAGTGAAAAAAAAAAACTTTATGGTTCGTAATTCCTGGGCTTGCTCACTCCAGGGGCGAAGACTCATTCTCTAAGCCACAATGATAAACATTGTAATTCAGGAAAAATGCTAATCTACCATGTCAGTGACTAAACCACTGACTCTTTCCCTCGGGATTTTTTTTTTTTAAACTCTGTTTCAGGGTCATAAAGGATTTCATGATTCAGGGTGGAGATTTTGTTAATGTAAGTACTGCTTTTTTTTTTCTTTGCTATTCTTCCTGTAGGGCCCCAGTTTTGAGAATGAAGAATACTAGCTGAGTTAGGTGGAAAGAGTGTGGACACGGGGATGTACTGTAGCACTACCGCTGACTGTGCCCTTGGAACACATTTCTGTGCTAAACTTGAATCATTAACTTCCATTGTCCAAACTGAGCTTTTTGTAACCAGAAATTGGATGATCCGAGACAACCCACATTCATTGTTCACAGGAACCTTTAAAATTAGCTGCAGTTTTTCCCCCAAAGGGAAGTGAGCTGACTGCTTACGCCCTCCATTTTCCCTTCTGCTCTGGTATCACTGTCAGAGACTCTGTTTGCTTCTGCCGGTCTTCCTTTCTTTTTTTCCTTTGAAAGCTGAGGTTTTGACCACAAGCCGTTTAGTGGCAAGGGGTCAGGCCAGGATGGGCGGGTGGTTCGAAGGCTGTTTGCTCTGCTTGCTGAGGTACCCAGGGATCCGTCCTTCACTGCTGACTATGGCTCCTTTGTGACCATGCTGTTTGTGTCCCCATCCCAGCTCTAGAGTGTGCCCAGGAAGCTAGGATTTTCTCTTAGCCCACTTTCCCGTAGCCGCCCACTTCTCTGCATGCTGCTGCTTTACTGTGAAAATTGCAGCCCCTTGTGTCTGAGAGATGGTCTTTCTCGATTCCCGTGAGTTTTTAAAGCTCTTGCTCCCACTACGTAGGGTTGCAGTGGCTGACTCCTGCTGTCACTTGTGCTGCGGTTCCACTATGTGGTTCTGCAGAACTGGGAAACTGGGGAGACTGGAGAGGTGGTGGATCAGCAGTTAAGAGACCTACTGGTCTTCCAAAGAACTGGAGTTCCTGGCTCATAGCTGTCTGCAACTCCATTTCCGGAGTATCTGACACTCCTGGCCTCTGTGGGCACCTAAACTTATATGCATGTACCCATACCACACACATACACACACCAAACACATAATTAAAACTAACACAAATAAATCATTTGTTAAAACTGGGAAATTTTGCTGGGTGGTGGTGGCGGTGATAGCGCATGCCTTTAATCCCAGCACTTTGGAGGCAGAGGCAGGCGGATCTCTGTGAGTTTGAGGCTAACCTGGAGTTCCAGGACAGCCAGGACTGTTACACAGAGAAACCCTATCTCAAAAAACCAAACAAAAAAGACTGGGAAATTTGGGGGGTCGGAGAGATGGCTCAGAGACTAAGAGCACTGGTGGCCCTTCCAGAGGACCCAGGTTTGATTCCCAGCACCTGTGTGTTCGCTCATAGCCACCTGTAACTCCAGCTCCATGAATTTGAAAAACAGTAAGAAAGGGGTACATGGGAGGGTTTAGAGGGAGGAAAGGGAAGGGGAAGTGATGTGATTATAATCTCAAATTAAAAGAAATACTTTTTAAAATAATAATCTTAAAAAGGAAGAAAAATAAGCTAGGGTGCAACAGTGTTTCCTCCCCCACCCATCCAGTGTCTATGCTCGAGTGGGCACACAGGTGTGCACGCTTGTGTGCGTACCGGTTTGCAAGCCTGTGGAAGTGGTGTGGAACCCAGAGGAAGATATCGGGTGTTCTCT